TGTGTGTGTGTGTGTGTGTGTGTGTGTGTGTGTGTGTGTGTGTGTGTGTGTGTGTGTTGAAATAATCTTCATTTTAAAAGCAGCCCACACGCACAGATAGACTGCTGTGCTATACAGAAAATTTGCCAGGGGCCCCAGACGGCCGGGTTCCCAAAGGGTTCCCAATTTATTGTAGACTATTTCAGCTGGCCTCAGGTAATTTAGTTAATTACAACTTTGCCTGGCATCTGCACCCCTCATACACATAATCACTCAGTTAAATAGCAATGGTCCCAAAGCGGACACTCTCAAAAAGATCTATGCACTTCCTAAATTAAATGTTTTTAAAGCTAATCACCGAAAAACAGGGTCAAATTGACCCTTGTGGACCACACCCCGAGGAACCAACATTATTATTATTATTATTATTATTATTATTATTATTATTATTATTAGTTTCTTTTCTTAACATAATTCTATTATGTTTTAGCAGAAAGACAATTTCCTGAGGAGTATTAATTCTTCTGCATTACACTGGATAAGACTATTTTAAGTATCCAGCAGAGCATACATAAGAATAATATAATAAATAAAACATAATTAGAAATAACTAAAATAACTAAACTATTCAAATTTTAACTAAATATACGATAAAACTGCCAAAATCTAATAAAGGCGCCACTATACACGTTCGCGTTCTGATTCCTTTGTATAGTTTGTCCCTGTGTAGGCACCGTATTTCGTCGTGTTGCGTAATTTCCGGTGTTGCGTATTTCCGGTTTAGCTAATTCGTCCATGCGCCTGAAACGGTGAATTTTTCAGGCGAACCAGACCGAGTAGAATTACAGCAGTAATGTTTAAACTGGAAGGGCTGGGACCCAAAATGGACCCGGAGGAGATGAAGAAGAAAATGCGACAAGATGTCATCTTGTCTTTACGAAACTTCCTTATTTACGTCGCTCTGCTTAGAGCCAGTGAGTAGCGTCAGATGACATTGAAAGCTGAGTAGACCGCTCACGGGTATCTAATGCAGCTAATTATCAGTAAACTGTGTCATTTGCTCACCTTCTCTTTGTAGTAATCATGCATGTGAAGTAACCCGAGCACATCAAAATGTTGCCACAATCAGGTATATTATGTTGTGGTTTACAGTATTTATAAATCACATACACCTCACGTGCCAGGGAGTACTGAGCTTGATACACAGTACTGTGGAAAAGTGTAGGGTCATCATTTATTCTTTATGTATTGCTAGGCAAATGGGGGAAATTGTGCAGTGATTTAACGAAACATGTGGAAACATACATAGAAACGGGGTATATAACAGAAAAACACAGTTAGTTCAATTCTAATGAGTTTGAAAGCCTCCACCGTGTTTTACAGATGACACTTGTGTAGCTCCTGACCTCCTCTGTAAATACTGACAATGATTTGAACACAAAATGCCAAATTTGGATTAGTCACTCAATACTTGTGCACAGTACTGTATATGTTAGTGTTGGTGCGTGCTTCTGTCTTTCCTGTTCTCTTCCTATAAGAATTTGTTTACCTGTAGCAGGTAAGACTGTGTCTGTTCATCTGTACCTGAGAGCTGTGTATCTATTTGGACTGGTGCTGGTGGAGCTAATATGACGTTTGTCTGTGTTTACAGCGCCGTATGTGTTAAAGAAGCTGGACAGCATATGAGCGGAGCAGCTCGTCTCCTCCTCCTCCATCCATTCACAGAGAGCTGATTGCATCAGAGACGGCATGGATGTCCAGAAGCAGACTGCTGGTTCCATTACAAAATCACAGCGGAAAATTACCAGCGTTTGTCCATCACTGCAGTGGAGAAACCGGCTCACACACATTCAGTTTTGTTTCACTTTGTAAACTTTTTTTCTTTTTTTTAACTATTATTATTATTAAAACACATTGTCACTCTTTGTTTATACATGTTTTGTCTTTAATAGTTTCTTCCAGATGTCATAATAAAGTCAATCCATGTTTATGTTGCTAGTGTAAAAGTGTTTCTTCAGCAACTAATATTTGAGAGATATACTTAATACACAGCACGTATTAGTAGCACTAATATGTATGTAGTATAAAACTATAGGTAATATACAACTATTTCTGGCTCTCTGAAGATAAATTATTGCTGTATTGTTGCTACGATTTAAAAACAAATTTGTGATCAAATATTTTGGCTGGTTTGTGCCCGCACTTCCTATATCGTACCATGTGGGGGCGCTGCTACGTAAGTCTGCGGACTAGTGAGACTGCAAGTGATGGAGGCGTCAGCAATGGACGTTAAACCGGGCTATTGTGTGTGAGCTGTGTGGCTTACCAATCGCGTAAGGGTGATCACGCCTGCAGTTTGAGGTTCGTTTTGGTGAGGAGAGCATCAGCTGTGCGCACGCGGGATCCTCCGCGTTCCTCCGTGTTACCGTACGTTGGACCAGGCCCGCCCATACTCCAGAGCATCTCTAGAAAAGCCGGTGAATCAGACAATAACGCCGCTAAACACTGGAGCTGTGCTCCAAGAGGCTGTTCGCAGCGGATGAGGAGATAAGATCGGTTTCTTATCGATCGACTGGCCCGATGGATTCTCAATCTGATATCCTTAGTGTTTAAGAACCAGCTCCATTGGCCGTGATGAACTTTCCAAGTCACTTCCAGCATATTTTCAAGCAGCTCAACCACCAGCGCCTCCAAGCTCAGCTGTGTGACTGTGTAGTGGTGGTTGGAGGTCAGACCTTTCAGGCTCACCGCTCCATCCTGGCAGCATGCAGTTCTCACTTCAGGGCTCTCCTCACCTCCAGCGACACTGCAGATGAGGCTGGAGGTTCAGGGGCTGACAGGTGTCGAGATGGTCCCAATGTGATAGAGCTCGATCCGGAGGTGGTGACCCCAGAGTCTTTCTCCACCCTGCTCGATATGATTTACACCTCCACTCTGTCCCTAGGGACCTCCAATGTGATGGATGTGTTACTGGCGGCATCGCACCTGCACCTCAACGCCGTGGTCAAGGCCTGCAAGATACACCTGTCCAGGAAAAACTTCCCTGCCTCTGCGCCTAAAGGTTGGAGGTCTGTGCAGCAGCAGGAGCAGGAAAGTCCATCTTCCCAGGTAGCAGGCAGTTCACAGCAACGGGTCAGATCAGGCCTGGAAGAGGACCTCGATAAAGAGGAAATGGGAGAGGAGGTGAGTCAGTCTGGTGGGGATGAAGACTGTGTGGTGATAGTGGGGCATAAGAGAAAGCTGCATGAGGACAGGCTCAGTGACAAGAAGAGAACCTGCAGACTTCCTGGAGAAAACTATAAGGAGTGTTCGCCTATTGTTACCAGGAGCTGTGTGAGCCATGAGGAGAGAGGAGAAGCTCCGTTGTTTTCAGGTTGCCTGCAGATCACTGACACACTCTGGGAAAACCAAGGTGATGATGAGGAGAAGAAGTACAAAGCACCCAAAGGAGAATTAGATGAAATCCAGCTGCCGAGCCAGTCGGATAGCAGCATAGCAGGTGTGTGGGAGAAGGGTGAACATACAGATGGAGACAGTGTGGTCAAGGTAAAGGTGGGAGAGGAAGAGGGAGACAAACCTCAGATGGCAGTGATTGAGGTGAAAAAAGAAAATCTAAGCTCATATTCTCCAGATTTGTTAACCAGTAATTCTCCTCCGTCTCCACTGGAAGCCTGCACAGATAATTTGAATGCACAATTCAGTGGCGAGAATATGGTTGCAGCCAGCCCAGCAACATGTAATGTTGGCTCTTTACAGTCAGAGCTGTGCACAGATCTTCGCACCGAGGAGCAGGGAGAAACTGGAGATTTGGATGAGGACTCGGCAGATGGTGAGGGCCTGGACAGCCTGTCAGACCTGGCCTTTTCCTGCTTCCTCAATCCCGGCACTGAAAGTGTCATGGGAGCTCTGGAAGAAGATGACAGTCTAGCCAGCCTCACAGCTGCTGCCACAGCTGCTGCCGCCGCCGCCAGCGAAGCTCCTCCAGCTCTGGTAGATGCAGGTGAGCAGGATCAAAAGTCAGACGAGGCAAACACCTCTACTGCTCAGTCTTCAGACTCTTCATCTTCACTTATCTTTCCGGTCACCTCGGTCCCCTTGCAGCAGCTTCTCCCAACTCAGAGTCCAGGATTTAGTGACACCATCATCCTCCAGCCCACCCAGAGCTCTCTAACAGGGTTCCTGAGCACCGTCAGATCACCACTCAGTGCGGGAGCCTCTGTCGTCCAACCCTTGAGGGCAGGGAAAAGCTCAGGAGCAACAACCTTCCGTCGAATCGCCCCCAAAACGCAACCTGGATCAGAAGCCGGCACAGAGCTTTCCCATGGCTCTGGGGGGGACGTCGCCGATCGGCCACCTCTGACAAGAGCTTCAGAGGATGTTCTCTCCAAGTGCAAGAAAGCAGCTGCTGAGGACCACGTGCTACTGGTGGAAGGGGAGAAAAAATATGCCTGCAAAATCTGCTGTAAAACCTTCATGAACTTGACTGACTGCAAGAAGCATATTCGTGTCCACACAGGAGAAAAGCCCTACCCCTGTCCCAAGTGTGGCAAGCGCTTCAGCCAGTCCTCCCACCTGTATAAGCACTCGAAGAACACCTGCTTAAACTGGAAAGATGACCAGTCTTTGGCAGGCACTTTGCTCTAAATATGGACTGTTATTTATTACTATTTAATTCAATTAAGTCTATAAAATGTATCCAAACTGATGCAAATGAACTGATGATGGCTTAAATTGCTGCTGTGCTACAAGTTAATGAGAATAAATGATTCATTTGGTCTTTTTTATAGATCACTAATCTATTTTTTAACATGAGATAATACAAAATTACACACTTTTGTGCATGAAAGTTGGCTTTTTATTCTTCAGAAAAATCATATTTCATTACAAAAGCTGGAGTGTTATGCTGTTTCAGTAACGGGAGACATGAAGTATTAGCAGAGAAAGTGCAGACAAGTAAGTTCATCATGGTAAATATTGCATTTTAAAATGGGGGAGATGAGTTTTAAGAATACATTATAGTGTATTTTGAGAAGTTTTAGGGTTAACAAGGGCCGATGGTTTGTTATTTAGGCCATTAAGTACTTGAATATATTTCACAAAAATGCACCAATCATTTCCTTCCTCAAAAATGCACAATGAATATAACAAGTGCTATCGGTGTCAAAAATGACAGATTAAAGTGAAACTATGAAGCCAACACTGATCATGTACCCGGCCGTGACTGAACTACATTCTTACTATTCTTTTCATCCACATCACTTCATTATTGTTTTCTGCTGTCAGCAGAAGAGGCACAGCGGCTCACTTTGAGGCTCTTAGAGGGTGAGTTCACTGGGCATGTCTGTGCCCTGCAGACCACCCAGCAGGTTTTGCGCTGCCAACGCCGACATGACGCCTCTCGTGGAGTAGGTGGCACTGCCAATGTGAGGTAACACCACTGCATGGGATAAAAACAGGACAGAAAATATTTTTTTAAACAGTAAATTAAACATTAGAGGTCAGAAGCAGACATCTACGCGGGGAACAAGCTTTCTGCTCACCGCAGTTCTTTAGCGTGAGAAGCTGGTGGTTTGTTGGAAGTGGCTCAGGTGTTGTGACATCCAGTCCAGCTGCGGCTATCTGTCCACTGCTCAGTGCCTCATATAGATGCTCCTGATTCACCACAGCCCCCCTAAATCAAATAATTCACTGTATGATGATGGGGATTTATTGTTATTAAAAAAGTACAAAAAAAAAGTACCTGCTAGTATTGATGAAGACTGCGGTGGGTTTCATCTTGCTGAAGAAACTCTTGTCGCACATGCCCTGGGTTTCTGGTGTCAGGGAGCAGGAAACAACAATGAAGTCGCTCTCAGACACAAGTGTGTCCAGGGGAACTGATCAACAGAAGAGGTGACACAGGACAAACACGTAGATTAACAATCAATAAAATATCCACTATGAAACTATGAAGCCAACACTGATCATGTACCCGACCGTGACTTATTCTTTTCATCCACATCACTTCATTATTGTTTTGAATGAACGTCTTTCCCAAAACCCAGTTTGTTGGAATATAAATGTGAATGTACTCCTCCAAAAATTGTTATGTACAATGTAAATAAGGATATAAAGCAATTTAAGCCCTATATGAGAACACGCATCCTGTTTTTTGTAAAGTGTTTGCTTCCAGTGCCAGCATCGCCTTTAAAAGGAGAGGAACAAAAGGCCTGACTGGGTATAAAAAAAGAGGATGTGAGTAAAACTGAGACAGAGTGGTTCACCACTCTGTAAACACTACATACAAAACATTAAAAGTACAATAATCACGTCTGCTTCACAAAACAAGGGACAAGGCTGTGTCTGTGATCTCTGGGCCCTTGGACAGCGCTGCATTTATCACAGACAGAAATCTGCAGTAGAAGTAAATATGTTGCACTTATTGTCACATCTAAAGATGATGGAAATACCAAGGCTTGTGGATGTATTAGTGATGATGTAAGATGGTGTTATCCTAATTTATTTAATCCCTTCAGCAACTTGAGAGTACTGTGATTTGATCTTTATTTTTCTATTCTATTCTATCTATCCATCCATTAAATCTACCACGTATTAAATCTACATCATTAATTGCCAGGAATAAAACCTTTGGACAGGCCTTGTGTGTAAATTTGCGCAAGAGCTCAGATGCCATCTTCACTGTAGTTTCTTTGTTTCAATCCAGCCATTTACAGTTAAATGTGGGGTTTAACTGATGTGCAACACATTGCATTCTGTATCATTTACATTTCGTGTCCACATGCCTTTGGAAACAGGGTTAAATTAGGTTTACAACTACTGCCCTCCCCTTTCTACCTTGCTGTGCTTTATCATCCCCCTCTCGCTGTGTGCATTTCTCTATTCATTCCTTACCAAACTCTCCGTTCACTTCAGCAGCGTGCGGCTTGGCTGTTCTCCCAGAGTACAGAAGTCTCTTTACTCCGAATGGCATGAGTCTCTGAGCTATGGCCATGCCTGCACACGAACACAAGCAGTTATTCAACTACCATCAAGTCTTAAATGCTAGGAGGAAAATCTGATCAGACTTTGCAAATTAGATATGGTTATAAAGTCAACCTATGCGTCCCAGTCCAATGACTCCTACAGTGCTGCCAGAAAGACCGTAACCACACAGCCAGAGAGGTTTCCATGAGCTCCAGCCACCACTTGCGGGAAGAAAAAGTGTGATCACTGTATAACTAATATCAGCAATTTGAGCTGAACGGTTAGAGAAACAACCGTTGAGGTGAGACTGACTTTTTCACCTCCTCCACTCCCTCTGGTAATCTGCGAGCAGTGGCCAGCAGCAGAGCCACAGTCAGCTCTGCTGTGGCATCAGTCAGGACATCCGGGGTGTATCCAACACGAATACCACTGTTGAAAACAAAGCATAGGTATAACTGAGAAGGCATATAGTGTGTCCTGTTATTGGTTAAAAGTGAAGTTCAGTTGGTTCACCGTTTTTTGATCTCATCGATGGCTAGGTGGTCGAATCCCACAGACAGCGTGCTGATCACTTTCAAGTTCGGCCCTGGAATCAAAGACAAAACAGCTAAGCAGTCACGTAGCTGTCAAATAAATGTAATCAAATCCCGAGGTTAAAAGCAACAAAATGGCCATCTTCATCCAGACAATATAAGCTGAATGATTAACAGTGATTATGGACAGACCTACGGGGTTCAGGCCTGATAAATAAAGTCACTGTCCCCCCTCAGCAGAATTCTACTGATACACTTGAACTACAGGTTACACTAACTCATGCACATGGTTTAAAGTAGTTTACTGCTTCTGCAGCAGTTGTGGTAACAAAGCATGGCTGAGGTGGCTGAATGGACAGGCCTTTCCAGCTCAGACTTCCAGCAACCCTTTGAAACCAAAAACAGGTGCTTGAGCGGCTAGTTTTAACTTTTTAAACATTTCTCTATGAGTGTACAGTGTATGGTTGTAATCTTGTATAGCATGTTGGAGTCTAACCCCCTCCCCCCCATGTTAAAGTTGGCCTCCTGTCCATTCCAGTGTGCTACAGACCCTGACAGACAGATCCAAATCAGTACTACTACACAGGGTAATCAAGTGCCCCACTTTGTGTGGGAATGCACAGCATTTATATTTCCTGTCCCCCACGGTCCCTCAGGGAATGAAAGTTAGGAAAACACACATGAGGTGATTAGCAGAAAGAGGGAGATAGGAAAAACTATTTTTTCTGGTGATAAATATATCAAAAGCATTATTAAAAATCACCCACACTCATACTGTTTATTTAGTCTGCTTAGATCTGGTCACCCTACCACCTGAGGGCAGTGCGTACCTGCAGCCTCCAGGACCTCAGCATCGATCTTGTCCGACAGCAGGCACAGAAGACCGTGAGCCCCCTGAATACCTTTGAGAAGGTCTGCCCTCGGAACAGGCTCATCGGAGTCCCACTGAGACACCTCACACCTGCTTCCAACGAGACACGACAAGAACAAGATGCATGAAGTAGCATGTCATTCAAACATGCAGGCTAGCTTGTGCAAGCAGAGAAAACTTCGAGTAATGGTGTGGCAACAGGAGTGTATAAACATGAATCACAGCGTGCATGAGCCGATCTGCACAACACTGTTAACGACAGCTTGCTGTTCATTCACACACAAAAACACTTCGTACACTCCAGCCGCTGACAGGATCTTCAGCCCCTCTTGCGGGATGCGCCTCGTTATGAAAACCTTCATGAGTTTTCCCGCTGACTGCATCCCACTTTAACGACAGAAAACCTGCACACTCAAGACTGAAACTTGAAGCTTTTAACCTTCAACGTCAGCAGAGCCCGGGCTACTCTCGAGACGCCAGGAAGTAGTCAAACTCACACCACTGCGCCTGCGTGGTAGGGACTGGGTGCAGATACTTGACTCGCTACTTCTTTTGGCATTCCCATACAATTCGAATAAAATTTAATGATAGCCATAAAAGACATGTATCCATCTGCCTGTTATCTTATTGGTTAGAGTTCAAAGCCTGCTTCCACGTGTTTTTATTCATTTTTGGGGGTACAATAACAGGATTATCATACAGGAATCCCAGCAAAGGAATGTTTACATCACTCTTCCGATTTTACCCCTTGCCACCTGGCGGGATGAAAATGAAAGGAGTGGACAAAACCATAACAATAAACTGTGGTCGTAAAACGCATGCGCATTGTAATGTCAAAGTACACAACTGTAAAGTTTTTTTCCCCGGGGATCCTCATTACAGGCATGTGTATATAAATTCATAATCAAACAGCTTATGTTGGTTAAATGTGCTATAAGCTATAAATAAAATAGACCTGACAATCAACACAAAAAGACTCAGACAATTGTTTTTTTTTTAAATAATGGATGCTTCAAGTATGTTTTTAGTTTAATAAAAAATTAAAGAATTAATTCACACAACTGCATGCTAAAGTTAAAAGACAGAAATGATTCAGGTTAGCTCACTGGGCGAGCAGGCCAGAAGGCAGTGGCCCAGGTTTGAATCAGACCTGTGAGCCTTTGCTGTGTGTCACCCCCCCCCCAAGGTTTCTGTCTGTCTCCACTATCGCTAGAAGTAAAATAAAGGCAAAATGGTCCCAAGAAAATATTAAAAAGAAACACCTACCATCTATCCTAAAATATAGAGATTATTTGTTAAATAAGGAGTGGCTCAAAACGCATATCCACTGTATATCCAAAGTGATTTCTCCCTGTTAGCGACATGTCCAACACATGCAGTTTGTTGGGACTCACCCTATAAGCTCAATGCTGCCCCCTACAGTGAAATGCACTTACAAACCGTTTGACTTAATATTTCCTCTTTTGCTGCTTCATATTTATTTGATTCTGCAGCAGCACAGCAAAAGCAAAACGTGCAAAATATTTCAGCCTACTGCTCCAGAGACTCGTGGATTAGACATGAACTAGACGCCTAATTTTCTTCACCGCCTGAACAATTTGCTTGCGTAAGACGTCACCGTCTCCTCCTGCTCCGCGCGACGCTGCTCTTCGCTCGCTGGTTTAAAAAAAAAAAAAAAACTCTCCAGAGGAGTAGCCTCTGCGCTCTGTAAATGGTCAAGTCCTCACCCTCAGAAAGCAACAGAGGGCGGAATAAGGAGCTCTCGGTACGGAAGGAAAACAAGCAGGCTCCGAAGCAGGAAATTAGAGTGAGGACCCAGCTTGGAGAGGTAAGAAAAAGCCCTTTTTGAGGCTTTAGAGGTTATCTGTTGAATGCCAAGACTGGCTGTAAGAGGCTACATATTACTGCTAGCTTGTTTGTGATCACTGCAAAAGGAGCTACTCTTTGCGTCGAGCCCGTCTGTCAGTATTAAAACCATGTAGTTACGATAACTCACTCGATAGCAGCTCCAGGAAAGAAATAACTTTATTGTCCGCATGCACCGAGCTGAAGCCGTATTTGCTGTCATATTACGAAGGCGTTACCGCGGTGTTCATGTGTCAATAATAGAGCCAAGGTAGCGGCAAGAGGCTCTCTCTCTCTCTCTCTCTCTTTTTTTTTCTAGTAGTTTAACTTCAATATGCTTTTAACTTCAACACCATTTACGCTGAACGCGTCTGAACCTGCAAACCACGGAGAACCAGCAGTTATCTAAATTTCTGTTTAATCTTTATTGGCCGATATTTTTTTTACCCCAGCCACATCCTTATATAGACTGCATGTTTCAGCACAAAACTAACGAGCATGACGCTCAGTTATCGGTTTATCTCTTTTTAATATAATGCCATTTGCAGTGTTGTTTTTGTGGCTGCTTCTAATCGTGTTCGTGTTGTTATGAACACAATAGGGGATTTTGCAGCGCTAAAGTCATGCCGTTTGATTTCTGTGGGAGGAATGGTGGTAATTGATCCATTGTTATTAAAAATTACAATCTATAAAACATGACGTTTTTTATATATAGAATAATTAGATGAGCATGCTGTTTTTAGATAGTGCTGAAAGTTCTTGGTACTTTAAGTCAATTATGGTAAGATGTTGTAAATATAGCCATGGTTTGCCATTAGTGGTGTAATCCGTACAGAAATATGACAGCACGTGGATGCTATATATATATATATATATATGGATATGGATATTGTATTTCCTCATATTGCACAACTACGCTTTACCTGGATTTGTGAAAATGGTTCAGCAGCAATTTTTCCTGACTTCCTAAAACAACACTGATACCAAGCTTATTTATTGAACGTAACTGCATTCCAAACATCCATGTTTCATTTCAGAAAATAATACTAGTACTGACCCCACCCACGGCACAGTTTTGGCTGAGGAACCAGCAGAGCCTGTCTAGGTCTGCAAGAAACAGCAGGTTAAGTGCAGACGGACCTGCACAATGGCTCTGTTGACCCTGCATAGGATCCCATCCATTTCCACCACGCCAGTGAGTTCAGTTATCTCCCCGTTTTGCTGTACACAAACATTTTGCATCGTGTCAGCAGATATTATGTTGTTTACTTTTCTTTTATAAAGAATGATTCAGAACGTTGACTATAAGCCATTCATGCCAGCCCCTGAAAAGGTCTGCGTGAACTGCAGCCGCTCCTGAATGTGTCCCTTTGTGGATATCATCACTACATTTGCCTGAATGATAACAAGGCAGATTTGTTTTTCACTTGTAGACAGGGATGCGATCGCACTGATAGGCTTACATGGTAGAAATACCACAGATATAACTCTTGTTAAAGCATTGTCAGATAGTGATTAAATCACTTGCATATAAAGGCCCAGTGCATCAATACTCTATCATCTGCTTCTGTCACTCACATCTCCTCTTCTCTCATTCTCCTGCTGTATCATAAATATTTTTTCAGCATTATGTCAAAGGCCTGGCTTTCCCCTCTGGTCTCTATCATTGCAAATTAAACCATAAATAACTTTACTGTGCTTCCAAGTCTCATTTTTTGCATATTTATGTCACAGAATCTAAACGCTCTGCTATCTTAACTTGTGTTTTCTCCTTTTTTTTTTTTTTCCTTCTTCAAACCCTCATCGTTCCGCTCCTGGCTCCTGCCCACTTCTCCTCTTCTGTTTCTTTTTTTTCTTTCTCTTTTTCTTGACTCTGTCTGGACTTGTCAGTTGCGTAACAGGTAATGTTACTGTCTCAAGTTTCTTTCTCTGTAAACCCTTGTTACTACTGCTACTTCTCTTGTTTCTTTCCCCCCCTTCCCTCTTTACGCATTGCATTTCTCTTTCATTTACTGTCATTGTTTTTCTGTTATTTCATTGTTTACCTACTTAATGTTACTCCACCTCCCCTATGCCACTTAGCTCTTTGTGTCTGTCTCTTCACTGCTGCACCTTATCTGTATTGTACCACATTTCACCCGAGGAACTTTTTTCTCCCCACTGTTCTGTGGCCAAATTTTAGACAGGAAAGACATCACACTCAAACATGTACATACATGTGTACATACAGTGCTTCTAGTGTTTCCAGGATATTTGTTGGCTTCTTTCAGGACCGTTGTCTTTATTAAGTTGGAATGAATTAATTCTGAGAGCATTAGAAACACTGTGTAACAGGTTTTTCATTTTAAGTAGCATTTGAATCTCCAGCATCTTCTCTGACCCTCTTTTGGGAGCTAGATATTTTCACTTTATTGTAGTTGCCAACAGCCTGCCTAACAAAATCATTACAGGCTTTGTAAATGTAATTATAGGTAAATCAAAGTTAACATGGTGAACTGCATACATACAAACCAACCAGACTTTTTTTTTGTTCATGATTCCTGATGATGAAGATTTATTTTTTAAATGTATTTATTTTCTAAGGATGAAGGCCTCCAAAGAAGAGGAAGACTTCAGAAAAGGTAGCTGTGTAACCCACATGACATTTAAATAGTTATAAACTGCATACCTAGGAAAGACAATAACCAGTTACTTGATGGCTGCAGCAGTAACCTCCTCTCTGTAACTCTGTAGAGAGAGCTTTGCCCTCGTTAAAGGGGCAGTCCTCCTGCTGGAAGATGGCAAGAGCGGGAGCCTTCATCAGGAGATGTCTCGCACCCCGACTTCTCCTGTCAAGCAAAGCAGCGGCGCGCCAGACATGCGCCACACACATCTCCGTGCAATGATTGAACACCTCAGACCAGAAGATACAGTGAAGCTGGTGAGGACTCGTGTCTTTACAGATCATATCAGCAAAATCAGAAAAATGTCACACTGAAACAATTAATTTTTGTCTTTGATCAACAAGTAAACTTATACGATTGTATCACTGGCAAAGGCCGTAACTCCAAAATGTTGAGTTTTGGTAAATATTATGGCTTATGATGTTAAGACAACCTAAAGGTGAGTGTTTTTGCACATATTGATTTTTTCAAAGGGTAGGTGACTAAAGGGAAAATTTCAGTGACTCACTACAAGTCCCAAACCTTTAGAGACAGTGAGTTACCAGCTTTTTGGTCCTCGGTATCACTAGCATCAAGCTAACTTGCGTAAATATTATTCTTGTAATATTTCTATAGTATGGTATAGGAAAATTTGTGGCTATGTACAGAGCTATTATTTGGTGTTGATGACAGCATTCACAAAGAAAGGCACAATACTCCCATTTAATTTTCTGTATAGTAGCCAAAAAACTACCTGCCTTAATCTCAAACTGGCTTAATAAGGCATCACACAGACTTTGTACTATGAAATTAGCAGCACATAAAGCTCCTCCTGGATAAGATCCCGAAAATATCCAGTCACCAGTGCATGTGTGAAACTGCCTGGTAGGAAGCATCAGTAAAATATCACGTGTGATGGGTGGGCAATTTAATCTTGAAAGTATATCGCAATATTCCAAGCAAATTTGCGACAAGAACATTGTTGAGGATGTATAGAGAAAAATACGGAACAACATTTTATTGATGCTTGCAGGCAGCTGGAGTTTTAAGAGTAATTAAATGAAAGGCATTTTCAAACTTTGTTTTCCAATGAGCTACTGTCTTTCCAAATTTGAATTGTGAAACAATGTACCAGCAGTAGCATTATAACACAGAATAGGGGCAAAGTCAGGTAGTGTTTGTCCTAAAAAAAAATTTAGTTAAAGTATAAGATAATTGTTTTATTCTTTGGGTTAATAACAGCTGAAGTAACTTAACCTTGCAACTCTTCAGGGGGAGCATGATATTGTCACATAAGAAAACTAAAAAATGTTTTCCATTTGGGTTGTTGTCTCTTGGGTTGAGCTTTTCAGCAAGTTGCTTATAGCTCTCCTTTTCCATTTGGATTGGTATCATCGCTTTGACCAAACAATATATGTTAGTAATTTCCATCCACTGTTTCTGCTTCCTGTCATATGAAGCTTGCTTCAGCATTGTTGATGTAAGACATTTGTTTACTTTTGTGTTGCACATCACTAGCTGCTTCACTTTTATAGCCAGGTTGCATTGCATGGTGAAAAACTTTTGTTCTGTCCACCTTCAGTGGGAACAATTTACTTGCATATTTTGCCAGGGACACGTGGCTCTTGCCCTCAGACGTGCCCGGGCTTGTCTTATTCTTGCTCTAGGGAATGTAAATGCATGGTGTTGCTATAGCAATGAAATGGTGATATGATATTTTTATGTCACATCAAAATTTCATTCAATTCAATTTTATTTATAAAGCACCAAGTCACAAACTGTACTTGTAGCTTTTCTCGTTTCAGCTTGTTTCAGCAAAACTATAGGTAGAGGCCTTTAACCAGACAGGAGCCAGCCATGATCTCTGTAAAGACAACATTTACTTCCCTGATTTGAGTTTTCCTTTAAGGCCAAAGAAAATAAACTACGCAGGATATTTTACACCACTTGCAAATACCCAACCTTATTTGGCAACTTTAGACTTAAAAAGAAAACCATGATTATTATTTTTTTTTTGCATGTAAAACACAGTGCTCACAAGTTGTGTGTTTCCCTGTCATCCCTCCCTCTGTGTATCTTTTCATGCAGGCGGTGCAGTTAGATTCTGTTAGCTCAGTAAGAGTCAGGTATCTGATCGTGGTTTCCACACTGGCCAACAAACATGAGAGCATCCTGCTGGGCATGGATTTCCCCAACTCAGACAGGTGTGTGTAACCAAGACGAAGGTGTACAGTTGCACAAGATACGATTTCTGTTCTGTTAATAATTCCTGGTTAAGGTTTAACAAGTACAATTTCCTCCTTTGTCTTGTGTGTATGTGTCCTCCCCTTCTGTTTCTAGTGATCATTGCACCATCGGTCTGGTACTGCCAATATGGAGCAATACACAAGTTTATCTGGACGGAGATGGGTAAGAAGCATGTTTTTAAAGAAGGATTAAGGATTATATTCAGTGTGAAAGCAAGCGTGAGGAAGTGATTGGTAGGCTGCTGCACAGACGGTGCAGCCTGATTTCTGGGATTTTGGCCAGAGATAATATGAATGAGTAATGTCCTTATTTTTGGAGTTGAATCATTCTCTGTGAACTACAACAGCTCCTGTCACTCAGTCACATCATTGCATAAGCATGGAGGTCATGTGTTTTTAATAATGAAATGAAAGTAAAGTATGGTTAGTTTCTTTATGTGACTGTGTATTGAAAGGTTAGTGAGTTTAGCTGCTTTAAAGTCTTAATAAATTTATTCTTTGACTGCATTGTAGTGTGTGAAGAACATCAAATGTCCATTCCAGCACATTTAGTGTGTCTTCAAATAGCCGGCTATGTCTTGATTAAAACAGTTTGGGCTGCTGATGCTCAAAAAAGGATAGAAGAGCTGATCTCTCAGTAAACTGAGAGGTGTCGGGTTTAAAAACTGTTGGGCTAACATGATGGGTGCTTAATCTGCTGTGTTTTAAATGCGTGTGCATGCTTTAGTGTCATCCAAGTGTGTTTGCCATGTCACACCAGTATGTTCCCCCTCATCAGGCTGGATCACACCTCCAACTGTGCTAATCAATCGCTGTCCTCGCGTTTTCATTCCACAAGAACAAGAACTAATTCTAATCACACTGAATTATTTCTCTCTTGTGTGTCAGACTGTGATGTAGCGCAGTGATGCTTCTTAACACTGTTACTGTCTTATTTCTCGTTCTTCTCTTTCTCGTCGTCAGGCTTAATAATGAGCATTCACATTTCTGTGTGTTTCCTGTAGTGGCTTTAGCGTGAGCTCAGCAAAAGAGACCAGAATCTTTAAACCGGTTTCCATGCAGACCATGTGGTGAGTGATGCTTATATCCCCACTGTGGCAGCGTCCAGCTGCTCACTTTGCATATCAATAGCTTTCATTTGCTCTAAATTTCAAGATAAGTCGTTAATACACATAGTGATGTTCTGTTTGCTTTTCCTCTCCCGTCTCTCCTCTTGTAAGGTCAGTGCTGCAGGTGTTGCATGGTTGCTGTGAGCGTGCAATCAAGGCAGCTTTGATCCCAGGCTCTGGGCTGGAATGGGCTCGGCACTACCACCGGCACATCGAGTCCGATCGCAACTGCCTCAATGAGTGGGAGGTCATGAATGACCTGGAGTCGATCCGTAAGGACAGCGATGGACAGAGGTATGCTTTTATTTGTAGTAGCCAAGGGAGTTGATGTGATAGAAAAAAATAATGTACGTTAAGATAATTTACTAAAGTATCATTTTAAGTTATTGGTCCCGGAGTTGGAAAATTCACAATCCACCACACGTAAACGTTGTGTGCTTAAAATCCTATGTTTTAAAAAAGGAACAGCTGTAGCATCAAGTGGAAAATACCTCAAAAAGACTAATTAAACATGGCACTTTCACTGCTTAATGTTGCTATTAATGTAGTAATAATAAGAAACTGTTCTTATTGCTTGTGCCTCCCTGCCAGTTGGTACTAAAATTTCCCTTTTGTTCTCTGGGAAGTTCGGCAGAGAGAGTTTCCAGTGAGATCCTGATCAAAGAACACCTGAGAGACATCATGAGGACTGAAGACCTGGACAACCTCACATCCAAAATGGTGAGAAGTGTAGGAAGCTAGAGACAGGAAGTTGGTTTTAGAAAAAAAAAAAGTCAAATTATTAGAGCATAACTGAGGTGAAAAAATGTGACAAAATGCATTCATTCTCTGCTGTAGGTGCACGCTACCCTGGAGACCAGGATAGGCTTTGACATGAGACCCTACAAGGAGTACATCGACAATGAGATCCTGGTCACCATGGCTCAGATGGACAAGCCCTCCAAAATATTTGACTATCTATACCTGGTGAGTCATTGTTAAAGGTCAGATAGAGTTAAAAGCCATATTATGTACAGCCACTTTTGTGTGGTCAAAAAAATTGACATGGCTTTTAGTGCCAGGATGTTGTCATGTGACTGTAACTTCCCCTTTCAGATCTGTGTTGACAGCGATAGGGAAGATGGCTCTGTCAGCCCTTTCCTTTTCATCTTCTCTGACCGTTCTTTAACCTTTTTTGTTTTTATTTGGTTTCAGGGCTCCGAGTGGAACGCAGCTAACTTTGAGGAGCTGCAGAAAAACAAGTTAGTAGTTGAACCTGTAACACTTTCTGCAGCTCTGTGTGTTGTGGCCTGTCTCTGTATCCCATTAACTCACTATAAGGGTAATATTTAACTATGCACTATGTTTTGCTCTGGCTCTGAGTGTGTCTCTGTACGTTTTTCAGCGTGGGCTACATTCTGAATGTGACGAGGGAGATTGACAACTTTTTCCCAGAGTCCTTCAATTATATGAACATCAGAGTGTACGATGTGGAAGCCACAGACTTGCTGTCCCATTGGCCAGCTACATTTAACTTCATCAACACTGCAAGGTACCAGAGGCTTTTTAAATCGAGACTTGTAAAAAGGGTTGTAATTGTTCCAGTGGGACAGAAGCTCGGTTAGGGGCTGAAATGTGTGAATCTAAATATCCATAGAGGTCTGTCTATGACATACTGTAAATAAGAGGGAGACAGGTGGAAAGGTGAAGAAGAAAGGAGTGGAGATAATAAAGGTAGATGATTTAAATGCACAAGAGAGTGCAGACAGGGTTTCGTGGGTGGGGATGAGTGTCAGGGGTTATTTGTGAAGAAGGATAGCAGCAAGAGTGAAGGGGAAGGTTTGCAAGATGGTTGTGAGACCTGACAGTGACAGTGACAAAAAGACAGAAGGCTGAGGTGGAGGTGGCAGAGCTGAAGATGCTCTGGGTACACTATGTTCCCATGGTCTGCAACAAGACTGTACAAGTCTTCACAGTCTGACATGTTATACATTGAGAAATGTTCTTCTGCATACCTTAGTTTTAACAACTTATTATTTGAATTACTGTTGTCTTTCTGTCAGCTCTAAGCAATCCCCTCTGACACTGACAAAGCATTTTTATCCAGAGAACCACTGCTCAGCAGATATTTTGTCTTTCTAGACCATCCTCTGTAAATCCCAGAGATGGTTGTGTGGTGAAATCACCATTCTTCTATCCATCTTGCATCATCGAGGCGTTGGAACGGTGTAATATAGTGGCCAGTGAGCGTAAAATATAAAATGTTAGAGAGATTTAGCACTATATACGTTACTTTAATCCTTTATAGACGAAGTGCTTCCCCCTGTTTCCAGTCTTTATGATGAGCTATGCTTGCTTCATGCAGCTTCATATTTAATGGATACTGCTGAGAGTGTTGTCGGTCTCTGTGCCCACTTTTAACAGAAAATGAAAGGCTACGTTTCCTCAAATATTGAATTCCATCAAGATTGGAATAACCACCAATTTCGCAGTTCACACTGTGACTCGGCTTCCCATTTCAAGTCTAATCTGTGTGAATGATGTCTACAAACGACGACTGAGTTGTGAAACATCATGACAGGCAGTATTCACACAACGAAAATAGAAAAATACTGCTTCTGTGTTTTCAGTTTACAGTTTGGAGTCTTGAAACAAAACCTGTGAGAGAAGGCCAAGCTACCCTACAATTAAAGCTGCAAATCTTAAATTTGTTCAGCTCCTCAGCCAGTTTTAAAGCTGCCACATGTTCACAAACCAGAAGCGTTTTACTGCCGAGCATTATTTTGCATGTGTGTATACATCCCAGCAGTTCTCCCTTCACGACTTAATATTTGTTAAGTAAAATCCAAAATCACAGTGTGAGTTTACGTCTTCATCTTTGTGTATTACAGGAAGAGTGGTCAGGCGGTGTTGGTTCACTGCAAGATGGGCGTGTCCCGCTCTGCGTCTACAGTGATTGCGTACGCTATGAAGCAGCAGCACTGGACACTGGATGTGGCACTGACCTACGTCAGGGATCGCCGGTCCATCATCAAGCCCAATGAGGGCTTCATGAAGCAGCTCCAGACCTACAGCGGCATCCTCAATGCAAGGTTAGGCCTAGTGCTCTTTTTTTCCTGTTCTCTGTAGTTTGGGAGCTCAGTTGAGGAATGTGCTCTGTGTGCATTTATCATTCCAGCCAGCAGCGCCATAGTGCTCTCTGGAAGCGAAAGTCGAGAGACCAAAGACAAAAATCAGTTCGAAACGAGGAAAGAGGGGAGGAAGAAAAGACAGCCGGAAGTGAAGAAGAAGAAGAAGAAGAAGAAGATGAGGAGGAGGAAGAAGATGATGAGGAAGATGACGGACTTGATGAGGATGATGGCGTAGATATTCCAGATGAAAAAAATGACTCAGGGGAAGACTGTGAGGTAATCAGATCCTGAGCAATTTATCACTTTTTAAAATCCGGATTTATTTATTTTTTTACCTTTGCAGCTTTAACTCCTTTATATCTTATCAACCTCATCTAGGTGTTTGAACAGCCTGCCCCAAAGTCTGACACTATCCAAGACCCTGTGCAGACAGGCCCTGTGATTACTGTAAATGAACCAGAAAAGGTGAGCAGACTGCCTGACCTACATTTGTCCTCATATGTTCACGCAGAGTGCATCAAAGGCTACTCATCTTTTTACTTCTCTTTAATCTCCAGGTCATGCCGAGTGTTAATCGTAGTGGCAGAATGAACCTCTACTCATTAATGCAGTCCATCAGCGAGATGGATGATGTGGATAAAGGATATGATCAGGTAAAAGAAGCAGAGTGCTGGTCTCTCTAGCCTCCTCTTTGTAGTTAAGCTGACAGTTTGGAAATGGCTAATTTAGATTGAGGACATGTAGCGAAGCCTGTTGTTTGAAATAGCTCATGAATAAGGTTTTAACTATATGAGTCATGGTTCTTACCTCTCAGCTGTAAAAGGCTGATGGAGCATTGTCGTCACCGCAAGAATGAAGTGATGTAGGATTTTTTTTATATTGTCATTACTACTAGGAGACTGAGGGGTAGCACTGGAGGCCGTTTTTATAGCAACTTTTTCTTCTTGTGATTATGTTAATATTTCTACAGACATACATATTGGAAAAAACACCCAAACTAGGTTTCATTTTTAATCAAAATCTTTAGTTTGACTCTATATAAGGACCTGTAAGGCCTTCCATCCCCCCTTTTTCACACCTTGTGTCCTGCCAGTAACTATACTACCAAAATAGTAGCTGATTTAGTCTTCTGTGTGAATCTTTCTAGAGATTATGATGTAATCCACTTCAGGGGTCAACATTATTTTTGGCAGCATTTATGGTTGTGTTGCTTTAGGTGCTAATCATCTCACAGTTACAGTTAAAAATATTTATCTGTCAAGTTTTTGTCTACTTTGTACATTTCCTTACATCAGTTCCAATAGTTTTGACATTTGTGAGTCCTTTCGTTGTTATTCCTTATGTTGAAGCGAGGACTGTTATGCCATCTCTGATAAATTAAAAAACTGTTGTGAATAAGTAGCCAGAAATAGAAGGTATTGACGGTACTGAAGCAGGATAATCACAGTAGTCGCCGGCTACAACGTGTAGTTAGATTTCGACCGAGGTTTACGTCAGGTAGTCACATAGCGTTCAGAGGCATTTGGGGTTGCGATGTATCTGTGGAGTAGATTTCTTGCTGAAGAATTAATCCCAATGTTATAACTTTGTACTTTCCTACTTTGTTCTTTTCAAAGATGCCTGGCAGTCCGAGGCGGTCACCAGGACAGCGGAGGCGTAGCTATGGGCGCCGGTGTCTCACTCACCAGAAAGCATGTGTGGATGTTTCACCTGAACCATCCAGCCGGCCGGGCGCGGGCCAAAGCAAGCCGCAAAGTGATTAAAAAGATGAACAAGCAGGGAGGTACAAGAGGAACTATAAACGAGGCACAGAGGAGAAAAGAAGGAACGTGTGCTCTGGGAACATGCCAAGGTTTTTATACAATGATCCTAAAGTCTTAATTTATATTTTGCAGGTCTTGGATTGCATATGTCACCTCATAAAAGCTATAGTAGATAGTTGATTTTTATAAGGGCCATGCTGCAGTATTGCTGTACCAGTGAAAGCCAGGATATCTGAAATCATTGTGCATTATTGTATTATTATGTTTTATGTTTATGAAGGTATCCAAACATATATGAACCAGCATGTCCCTGCCGAGCTCCCTCAGTCCCTCTTCCGTTTTTTTAAGCTCTCCTTTCAACACTTCAGAGGTATCTATGCAATAACTGTTTTAATTTCCTTATACGAGGCTGTATCCTGCCAGCCCAAAGCAGAAAGTGTTCATTTCCTCCTTCTCACAACACATACCGTGTGCAGATATGGAGGATTTCACTGTATCTAAGCTGTGCATTATGGATTATGTCATGGCTAGTTTTATGGCATACGCCAGTTTGCCAAACTGTATTCCTCTGTGCCGGTGTGCCAATATATTTAAAGGAAATGTTGGTTTGCTAGGAACCTTTCCCACCTATTTTATTTTCATCCATTATATTTTGGCTCCAGGGCTACATGAGTGCCTTCAACCTGAGAATGAAAAGTGATTCTGTAATGATGTTTTTAATGTTTTAGCTTAAGTACAAGGTGGTGGTAATATATTGCATTTCTCTTGTACCATTTGCCACTTTTTTGTCATCATAAATGTGACTTTACAAGTTTGTGCACAATTACAGTATATATAGTCACATAATTGCTGATGGCCTGGGTGCATGTTTTGTGTTTTATACCAGCCTGTGAGAAGACACTGTTCAGGGTTTGAGTTTGTATTTATATGGACTTTGAATGGATCCACTTAAATTATTCCATGTTCTGTTTTCACTAGATGCTGATGAGGACATTTCTTATTTTATGCTGGTATTACTTTTTATCCAGTGAACCCAAGCTAAAAAAAAAAAAAAAGAAAGCATTTAACCTGCATGCTCACTATTAGGGAAAAAAAAGAGGAAAAAAGAAAACATGCACTTTATAATCCCAACACACTGTTCCCACCGCCTGAGCCAACTTCACACTGTACTATGATTAAAATGATCAGTGATTGGTTTTTATTGTCATCCATTTCCTTATTGTAACAGACTCTCTGCTGCCTGCACCTCACTCTTGTTTACATGCACCTGAGTAAAAAATAAATTATTGTACTCAAAACAAGAACCTTTATTTTTTGATTAAATAATAAACCAGAGGAGACTGATTTAATATAAAAGAGACATGGCACAGGGACAAGCCTTCTTTTGATTCCTATTTTTTACTGTAGCAGTTGTAATCTTAATATCAGCACAGTAATAGTTAACAAAAGAGAGGGGTAATGGGGATAAAGAGCAGATTTATACAGAACAGCTGATTTGACTGATGAATTAAAGTCAGGTCCCAATGTATTTCCTTCTGGGTTCACTTAGAATTATTCCTCCTGCTTTCATTGCAGCTCTGAAAGACTGAACCTGCAAAACAGAAAAGCCAGAGAGAGCGAGAGAGACGTGAAGCAAATGGCTACCTAAGTGAAGGAAAATGACAGTAACTTTATTTCCAGTCCTTGCTGCATGTACTCACAGAATCTGAGCGGTATGTCCAGGGAATCACCCTATACACCATCCTGGTGATGCCAGCCTGCTGGCAGCGATGCGCCAGCACCTCGCCCACAGCCTGACAGGCTGCCACGCAGTTTGTAGAAGCCAGCTCCTTCTTCACAGCCCACTCTTTGCTCGAACAAGAAAGCACCGGAATAGGGGAGCAGCTGGAAAACACTTGGGCTGTCACATGGTGTTGGCTACGGGAGAACATCAACCTGAAACAATGACAGGCATGAGAGGAAATTAAATAGAGATAATTGTTCTTTATGCATGAATATGCTATGTTTCATATCAACCTGACTGATTACATTACGTTTTTGTCCAGTTCTGAACCCAATGGGGTAGAACAAATACAGAATATTCGTATAATCTAGAATAATAGTAGTGAATATAAAAACAGTTATCTTTGTTTCCCAATTTTAGTTATACAACTTAACATTAATTTAAGAAAATAATTAATAAATTTAGATAAATAGATACATGTTTGTATGCTGTAAGCCGTGATCCAATGTGGGGTTGATGCACATGACTGTTGTCTCCATTTCTCTTTGAATTTTGTTACCAACAACTGATACACTTTTAAACATATCTTTCTGTTCATCTTGTGTCTTTGACTGTTTCTTTAGATCAATGCATGTGCGCCACCACGTCTCAAGAACAATGACTGTGTCACTGCTTGTTACAAAGTCATAATCCTTCATAGACTGAAATCATTTTAAATGTGTAATTTAGTTTGATAAGGTAACTGGTTACATTACTAATTACACTAATATAGTTATTGTATAACCTTCTAACAATGTGTTACCTCATAACAGTTGCTACTATAAAGTTAGAAAGTAATTCACAAGTCCTCACTAACAATAGTTGTTAAATTACAGTAAGCTGTATCACGACTATGCTTATTTCATCACAACTAGATTTATTTCTGGAATACTAAAATATGAATGAAATTTAAAAACTGCCATTTGAAGAAAAAAACAAAAATACAACAGCTAATGTGACATTACAGCTTTTATAATGCAATCATGTTGGGGGGTCTGTCTATGGTGTCCCACAAGGTTCTGTATTGGGGCCTTTATATCTGCTCTCTCTTCTGAACATTTATGAACATTTCTTATCACTGCTATGCAGACGAAGTTCAGTTATAGGTCGTCTTTTAAGGCCCAAGAATTTTATAATCTACAGATCCTGAATATGTGCTTAGGCTATTAAAAGATGGATGGCTGACAACTTTCTCCTACTTAATAATGAAGAAAAACCTGAAGTCCTTGTTTGTGCCCCTGACAGATTGGTCCCCTTCTGATATTTGCTAAATCTTGTATCAGGAACCTTGGGGTAACTTTGCTTTCACTTCTCATGCTCATGTCAAATTTCTGGCTTGATACTGATCTTTTTTTTAACGTTTGGTTCACTCTTTTTCTTTTTTAACACTCTGGTATTTTATTGTGATTTTAGATAAACAAGAGACACCCTAGCAGTGCTACTCGGTCAGTATAACGTTACTCTGATTTTGGACTTCAAAGTAAAAGCCCTTTACAATTTCATATATGAGCAATATTCGTCTGAATCCAGAATTCCGTTATAGAGAAACCACCTGTTTCCACAGACTAATTTCACTTTAAATCAACAGGATGCACCCTCACAGTGGTACTCAGTCTGAT